TGTTTGCTCTTGGGCTGCTCTTCCATTTCTCTAGCTGCTTCTACCTTGAAAGTTACAGGAAAACAAAAGGCACCTGAACCCTCTTTCTTCTTTATCTGGCCACCATCTAGACAATTCTTCTATAGCAGAACACTGAACATTTCCTTGGACACATCACTCATTCCAGGACAAGGGTGACATGAAAACCCACCCTCACTATCTTATCCACATATAATGAGGATGACCCCTACCCTTCTGCCTCCTCAGGCACTGGTCCCAACTCAAATCACCTCTCCGGCACCCTCAGGGACAGGCTGACCTGCATGCATCCAGCACTAGAATCCCCTGAGGAGCTCTTAAAATCCTAACGCAGAGATGCAGTGGTCTATGTGGCCTGGATTGGGGGCTACTGAAAACTCTCCAGGCTCTTGAACCACTGGCTCTATCATATTATTTGCACATAAGCAGGGCCCTTTGCCATCTGATGGAGCTACCCAGTAAAATCTGCATAAGAGAACATAAAGTACAGGTAAGAATAAACCAACCCACAACAGCCAAGATAAGGAAGCAACCTAAGCATACACCAATGGGTGAACCAATAAAGAAGATATGGTATATATATACTCTGAAATATTATTCAGCCATGAGAGAGAAGGAAACCCTGCCATTGGCGATGATATGAATACACCTTGAGGGCATTATGTTAAGTGAGATAAGTCAGAGAAAGACAAATACTGTACCATCTCACTTATATGTGAAATCTAAAAAAGCTGACCTGGTAAAAACAGAGAACAGAATGGTGGTTGCCAGGGACTGGGGGCTGGGGACATGGGGAGGTGTTGTTTAAGGGCACAAACTTACAACAAGTAGATAAATTTGTCCTGGAGATCTAATGCACATCACAGTAATTACAGACAACAACACTGTAGTATAAACTTTGAAGTTGCTAAGAGACTAGAACTTAACTGTCCCACTACAAAATTATGTGACATGATAGAGGTGTTAGCTAATCCTATGGTGGTCATCATACTGTAATATATAAATGTATCAGTTCAGTATACTGAACACCTTAAATTTACACAATGTTATATGTGAATTACATCTCAATTAAAGAAAAAGAATAAGCCAAACCACATTTAGGAGAAAACCATCTGTCAGTCTCCTTAGTAAAGTAACTAAAATCAAAACAGAAGGCCTGTACAAGGATGCCAATCTCAGGTTCAACCTGGCAGCAGAAATGCCGGAAAGAAATAAAGTCCCACGAAAGCTCCAGACAGACCCAAGGACATGATGAGCAGCTGACTGATATGTGACCCTAACAAGAGCTTGTTTGCAGGCACCCGCCAGGGCACAGGGCTAATGGCATTTGGTCTTCAGAAAGAAGGTGTTTGGAGGGCATGCATGCGCGCGCGCACACACACATACACTCACACACACTCGTACACCTGGCAGAACTTCTGAATGGGGCAGTTACACCTTAATGCTTAGAAGCTGATTCCTATTATTATAGTTAAGTGTAGCAATCCATGAAGGTTTTCTTTAATTTTTTTAGCTGCTTAGGCCCTTTGAAATTCAGCGGCCCAGAAATACTGAACTCACAAGTTACGTGACACTGAACAGCCTAACTTAACAGACTCTGTGACAGAGCCAACCTCCATCTCTCTCAGTGGAATCCAGTAAAACATGTTAAATCACCAAAAAATTATTTTGAGGGGAAAGGAAAAAAGAGGAAAACAATTCCAAAGAGCCTTATTAAAAATATAAAGCAGTATACTGTATTCTATCCTTTGTAACATGGTTATCAGCTATGCCTCTGTGAACGCAAGCCATTGCAGTCCCCACCCCTATGCTGTGGATATTGATACTGCTGTCATCAGCTAGCATACATCACACATATAGTATGTGCGAGGGACTGCAACAAGCTCTCCCCACTCGTCTCCTCTGTTTAAGCCTCGCTACCCTCTGGTGGGCATGGTTTTGTCTCCAAGACTCAGAGAGGTTATATAGCTGGTGTAAGGTCACACAGCAAATGAGTGAGGAAGGAAGTGGGACTCACATCCAGAGAAGTCACCCCCAAACCAGCCTGTCTTACCCTTTATGAGACTGGCAAACTGTGCTTCTAAAAGGACCAATTCATGTTCCCAGCAGGGAGATCAGAGTAGTGACACAGGGCCCTCACACAGCAGGCCACTTGCTGAACGAAGAATCCTTGACAGGAGTGGGTGGGCTCCACAGAGTCTGCACTGGACAGTCACATCACCAGAGCAGGAAAGATTGTTTCATCAGAAACATCTACTCACCCCATGCCATCACATAATGCCTTCGCCCTGGGGAGCTATCATCTGCACCCTTAAGTCCTTAGGGGGAAAAGTGCCTTAAAGGAGCCCACACTTGGCCCCTACAACCGATGGGTACACCATGCTTCTGGGCCAGGCTGAATTCTTGAACTGAGCCATGAGCCAAGCACTCACTCAACCCTCCTACTCAGCCAAGCACATCTATCAATCTCAGGCTGGCTCTTGAGGCAAGGATTCCATATGGGGCAAATAACTAGGAACACTGTGCTTACAGGACAACACATGAAATCAAGTTGCCTGCAGCAGGGTAAGCTCTCAACATCACCCAGGACTGTCACCACCAAGGGGATGATGAAAAGGGATGCATATGTGCACTATACAAAGCTACAAGTAGATAACATCGTAAAAGATGGAAAAAACCTTCCGAGCAGACAGGTAGTGTGCTTAGGACCATCCAGCAGAAACACAGGTCCAAATTCATCCCTACACACACATATTTTAAGCACTGGCCTTTAGAAAGACTCTAAACAGACCTTGTAACCCTGCCCCATTAGAGTGCTGGCAATGCAGTGGAAGAACAGACTATTCTTTACTTCCTACCTATATGACCATGAGCGTCACTGTTTTAATAGTTGGCAAAATCTAATATTAAGTGTCAAGAAAAGTTGAGAAACAGGGAGTGACACAGATCACCTCTCCAGTTTCAGGTTCCTCATCCATAACATGAGGGTCCGACTTGCTCACAGACAGACCTGAGCTGAGGATAAAGAATGAGCACATGCTTCAAAATGCCAGCGATGGTGCGAGGCCGCTGTGATGGCATCCCCCAGGCAGCCTGGGTAGGACAGCACTTCAGGGGCACGCACATGAAGTAGCTGTCAATGCAGAACTCAGGAGACAGGCTGAGCAAATCATGGCACGAACACAAAATATATTTGTGACACATTTTCCACGGCTATTATTGTTAAGTGAAAAATGATACAAAACTGCATATACAGTATGAGCTCAATTATATAAATAAGATACATGAAGAAAGCTGGAAAACTGTTACAAGAAGATGAACTCTGGGACAATGGGCTGCTTCCTTTTTTATATTTTTCTAATTTTCTACTATTAGTATTTACTAGATCATGGGAGAAAGCATCGTTACAAAAAATGTTTGTAATATTTTGTTTTCTAATTTAATGAACAAAATTATGACCAGGAAGTTTTTTTAAAGAATACCATATTTAGTGTGTTGTCAAATTTACCTTCCAGGATAGCCAGCTCCCATGATAGCACATGACATAATGTTGTACATGGAACCAGGATGAACTTCCAAACCAGTCAAGATTCTTCTAATCGTTAAAGGCTTTAAAATAAACTCTTAAAACAAAACAGTACCCCCCAAAATTTGAAGAGCAGGCCACCTGTGCTTTTCACCAGTGCATAGTTTTTGCAGCATGCCTCAGCCCTTACCTGGGGGCCAACTGTTTGTCAGTGGGTAAAATGCGTTTTGCCACAGCCAGAAATACATACTTGTATGGTGCTGTTTGTTGGACGAAATATCAGCCTGAGCAGGTCAGTATACAGCCGCAAATAAAAGGCGAGAGGCATAGGAAAATGTCAAGTCAGCACCTGTGTTCACTAGAACACACAGGGTCACACCTTGTGAATATATAAAACAGCAGGAGAGTCAGAGATGGACAGCAGGTGCCAGAGGGAGCAAATAGTATGAAAGCCATGAGATAGTGTGACATGTAGGGGTGTTGGGGCTGTAACTAAGGCTAATGTGCATAGTCACACTAGCAGGGCTCAGTGTATATATGGCCTCAGAGATATCGGGGAGCCTCTGCTCTAGAAGTACACTTTTGAGAATGTTCCAAAACTAGTGCACAGGCCCCCTACGACCTGTGAAAACTGTGTTTTTGAGCTTCGTTCACGCTCTAATTCTAACCACTACTCCTGAGAGAGATTTTACCACTCCTGTGTGGTATTACATTGTTACCATTGCAGGTCTACCTTATAAAAGAGCAAGATTCACTCCTTTGATGGACACCTGGTTGTTTAGATTCATCAAGGTGTTCATGGAGTGAGAACTGGAACCCTGAGCCCCCCACAGGCCAGAGGACACCTTCCTCTCACAGCCATCCTATCCAGCACCTTATAAACATGGTCGGAGGCTGCCAGAAACAGGAGAGGAGGTGGAGGATTTATTGTAATCTCCAACAACAGATTAATTCAAATCTCTTTTTTTCTTTTACACACATTTAAGAAAGTATTTTCATCATTACATAAATACAGAATTTGTGTGCTGTGTGTCTAAGAAAAGTTCATTTGATATTTCAAGGCTCTATTAAAAATACTTTCCTAAAAATTTCCTAAAAATCATTGCCAAAGAGTCCATAACGGTTGTTTGTAGGCCAAACAAGATTAAACACAACCACCTTTCCATTCCCCAAGTTCAAAAATACACTGAAAACCAACTCTTCACATTTAAGGAAAAGCTTCATGTTAATTCAATATGCAGTTGACATGGGTTTGAACTGCACTGGTACACTCACATATATTTTTTTTCAATAAATATATTGGAAAATTTTTGGAGATTTTAGACAATTTGAAAAAACTCACAGACAAACCTTACGATTTTCTTAATAACATGTCCTTTTCTCTAGCTTACTTTATTGTAAAAATACAGTATAAAATATTGAAATATACAAAAATATATGTCAATCAACTATTTACCAGTAAGCCTTCTGGTCAATAGTAGGCTATTGTAAACTTTCGGAGGAGTCAAAAGTCATATGTGGATTTTCACCTATGTTGGGGGTTGGCACCCCCAACCCCCACATTGTTCAAAGGTCAACTGTATATTCATTTTCTGAAGTCAGTGAACAGACTTGGCAAGAATTTTAAGTAAATCTCAGTTGACAAAAGGTGACCTAGTTATTCCCCAAGAGAAGAGAACACCATAACTGCAACCCTGCCAGAGGCCAGGCTGAATCTGAGGACCAGATTCCATTCAACCTTTCTTTCCAACCTTCTCAAGGACATCGTCCCTGTTGTGGTACTCAGCCCAGGTCTGCTAGTTGTCAGGAGTGCTGGCAGTTTTTTACTTAGCCGTGGAAAAATTCCTACAACCAGAGCGTCTCGGAGGACCAAGTGGGCAAGATGTGGCAGGGCTTTCCCACACAGTAGGACAAGACAAGTATCCCCCAACAGAGACTCAGAGCTTCATCGTCTCACGTGCCTTATAGATCAGCTCTTCAATACGTGAACTATCTCACAGATGAACAATACACTAGAATGAAATCTTTCCATTTGTGACAACATAGATGGATTTAGAGAGGATTGTGCTAAGTGAAAGTCGACAGAGAAAAACAAACATCATGTGATTTCACTTACATGTAGAATCTAAAACAAAATAAACAAAACAGAAACAAACTCATAGATATTGAGAACAAATTCATGGTTGCCAGATGGGAGGGGTGCTGGGGGGATAAGTAAAAAAGGGGAAGGGGTAAAGAAGTACAAATTGCCACATATAAAAACAGTCACAGGAATGTAAAGTACAGCCTAGGGAACATAGTCAATAATATTGTAATAACTATGTATGGTGTCAGGTAGGTCCTAGACTTATCACTTCATAAATTATATGTCTAATCACTATGCTGTCCACCCAAAACTAAAATAATATTGAATGTCAACTGTAATTGAAAAAAATTTTTTAATTAAGAAAAAAACAATACAGATTACTAAGGAATAGATTTGTGACATTTGTGTGCAAATTAATTTCCTCTGAGCAAATGATATTTTTATGCCTATTTAAAAAACAAGCAGTCTCCATGACAGATGCATTCATCATCCAAACAATCGAGCAACCTTCTGGCCACCTCTCTCTGCCCAAAGCCAGTCCCAGCCAGCAAGCTCTGTTGATAACATAGCATTTCCAGAGCACGTGGGGCACCCGGGCCAAGGTTCAGATTTTGCAAACACAGCCCCACATTCCTGGACCTGTGACTCACAGCCACTCCTTTCTAAGAGTAGACAAGATGAGCCATTAAAGAAAAATCTCAGAGAACATCCCATTTTCCACATATCATGCATCCAGACTTGAACACCACATTTTTACAGATTTATTAAACATCTGCGAAGTCAGAAACTTGAGGAAATATACATAGACATTCAAAGAAAAGCTTCCTTCCAGAAGTTTTATTTCCACAAAGCATGGTAGATTCTAATCTACTGAAATCTAATTTATTTTAAAAATTCTTATTTTTAATCCAAAGAAAGTCCTGCCTTTAATTCCAGTGATCCTCTGCAAAAAGCACCCCAAACCACAAGCCCTCAAGACCAGAAATAAGTCATGTTAGGCAGTGTTTCCTGTCTTTTTACACCTATAATAGTGTGAAACAGCTTGAAGTATAGCAGTTTTTATGGTGCAGCACTATGACACAGAGCCCAGAGGTTTACAAACTGTCATCTTTCACTAAGTCCAGATTCAGACAGCATAACCGATATGTACCCTTTCAGTTCAGAGACATCCCCTAACCTCACCTGAGTTCATAGCCCCCTTCCTTCATCCATCAGACATTTTAATCACTGTCATTAATTAATTGATTACTTACAGGT